ATAACCCCTTTTTTTAATGAATAAAACCCCATAACTCAGAAATATAAAATGTAAAATTTATAAAATTCTAAAGGGAGCTTACATCAATAGATATAAACAATTCACCAAAGTTTTATGCAAATTGGTTAAAGCATTTTTGAGTTAATGTCCGACATGTTGACGACGGACGGACGGACGACGGTATACCATAATACGTCAATACATGTAAACAATTCGCCAAAGTTTCATAAGAATTACTGAAAGCATTTTTGAGTTTGAAAACTGGAAAATCCCCCCTTTTTTATGAATAAAACCCCGTAACTCGGAAACGTAAAATCTAAAATTTATAAAAATCGAAAGGGAGCTCATGTCAATAGATATAAACAATTCACCACAATTTCTTGCAAGTTGGTGAAAGCATTCTCGACTTATTGTCCGAAAACTGGAAAATCCCCCTTTTTTTAATGAATAAAACCCCATAACTCGGAAAACGTAAAATCTAAATTTTATAAAAAACGAAAGAGAGCTCACGTCAATAGATAAAAACAATTCACCAAAGTTTAATGCAAATTGATTAAAGCATGTTTGAGTTAATGTCCGACATGTTGACATCGGACAGACGGACGGACAACGGTATACCATAATACGTCCCGTAAACGGGCGTGTATAAATGTGGATAGTGTCCACATGTGGACACAGATGATGCCCCCGCTTGCATATCATATAGTTATAAAGGGACATAACTGAAGAACGGTAAAAGTGACGCTACCCAAGTTGAAACTTGATCTGAGTTTTGTGGTAATAAGCATTGTGTGTAAGTCTCATAACATTTGGTTGAGGCTAACTTAAGTAGAGAACAGAAACTAAAAATTTAGCAATGTTTATGTTTATAATGGGACATAACTCAAGAATGGTAAAAGTGTTGTCACCAAATTTCGTACTTAATCTGTATTATGTAGTAATAAGCATTGTGTATAAGTTTCATAACATTTAGTTGAGGCAAACTAAAGTTAGAAAACGGAAACAAAAAAAATGAACTTGATCTTAGTTTTGTGGGAATGAATATAGTATAGGTTTCATAATGTTTGGTTTGTGCAAACTTAAGTTACAGAATGGAAACTAAAAATTTTGCAATCTTTCGATTTATAAAGGGGCATAACTCAATAATGGTTAAAGTAACACTACCCAAATTCAACTTGATCTGTGTTCTATCAGTGGAAGTCAAAATTAAACATTGCATTGTATAAAGCATTGATTGTAGTTTATTCAACTATAATCATGGACAAATAAAGATAACTCCAATGTTAATAAATTGCTTCGCCGGGCAGCTGGATACGACCGCAGAGGTCCAACCCTGAACAGTTGGAGCACAATATTTGCGCTTGTTACAGGTCTGAATAAGGATTGTAATTAAATATTTGACACATAATAGGTTTCTGACACAGAATAACTGTAGTCAAAGAACTTAGAATAAGTTATATGATTTGAATTTATATTTGATTTTGTGCAATAACACTGTGCCTGTGCGAATTGACCCCCCCCCCCCAAAAAAAAAATAAACTGCTTCGCTGAGCGCAGCTAGATACGCCCGCAGAGGTCCAACCCTGAAGAGTTGGGGCAAAAATGGACACAATAATCAAGCTTGATTCAGGTCTGAATTTGGATTGTAATTAAATATTTGACATATTATAGGTTTCTGAATAAATGTAGTCAAAGAACTTGAAATTGGTTATATGATTGGAATTAATATTCAATTAAAGATTTCTTGCTGTTGTGCAATACTTAGTAAATCTGTTGTCAGACTATAAACAAATAAAGATCAATTAATTCTCAATGTCATATTAGAAATTTATGAAAATAAAAAGGGAGCTTACATCAATAGATATAAACAATTCACCAAAGTTTCATGAGAATTGGTGACAGCATTTTTGAGTTATTGTCTGAAAACTGGAAAATCACCCCTTTTTTTAATGAATAAAACCCCATAACTCAGAAATGTAAGATGTAAAATTTATAAAATTCTAAAGGGAGCTTACATCAATACATACAAACAATTCACCAAAGTTTCATAAGAATTGCTGAAAGCATTTTTGAGTTTTTGTCCAAAAACTGGAAAATCCCCCTTTTTTATGAATAAAACTCAGTAACTCGAAAACGTAAAATCTTAAATTTATAAAAATCGAAAGGGAGCTCATGTCAATAGATATAAACATTTTACCACAATTTCTTGCAAGTTGGTGAAAGCATTCTTGACTTATTGTCCAAAAACTGGAAAATCCCCCTTTTTTTAATGAATAAAACCCCATAACTCAGAAACGTAAAATCTGAATTTTATAAAAAACGAAAGGGAGCTCACGTCTATAAATATAAACAATTCACCAAAGTTTTATGCAAATTGGCTAAAGCATTTTTGAGTTAATGTCCGACATGTTGACGACGGACAGACGGACGGACGGACAACGGTATACCATAATACGTCCCGTAAACGGGCGTATAATAAAAATTAAATCCATTTTTTTGCTTTTGTGCAATACACTATGCTTTCGCGTATTGACCCCCCCCCCCCCCCCCCCCCCCTCCAAAAAAAAAAAAAAAAAAAAACCCACAACCACCAAAAAAAAAATGTCAAGAAATTTTGTTTAATTTCTGAAATCTGAAATGAGAAAAAATGTCCCCCCTTCCGAATTTCTTTTTTTACCCCCCCCCCCCCCCCCTTTTTCAAAAAAAAAATCATTCCCTCGTGATATGGTCATAATCTCAATTCAAATTTCCAATGGAGTTTGCAACCATAATTACCAATTTAAATACACATCATAAAAGTCTTAAATAGATAATTTAAAAGCAGTATAAGGGAGGTAATCCAACATTGTACAACATTGTACAATTTTGTTTTTGGATTACCTCCCTTACACTGCTTTTAAATTGTCCATTAACCAGGAAACCCTTGTTTTTCCCCCTTTTTTGCCCCTAATTCCTAAACAGTTTGAGCCATAACCCCCCAAAGCCAATTCTTACCATCCATATAATTTCAGAGAGATCCATACACTTAAACACAAGTTATTGTTTGGAAGTTACAAAAATGCTTATTTTTGGCCCCCAATTCCTTAACTGTTGGTACCATAACCCCCAAAATCAATCCCAACCTTCTTTTTGTGGTATTGAACCTTATGGGAAAATTTCATAGAGATCCATTCACTTAAAGTTATTGTGCGAAAACCAATGTGTCTTCAGACGATGACGACGTCATACCAATATATGATCGCAAAAATTTTTTGCGGTCGTATAAAAATTACTTGATATTTAGAAGAAAATAAAAATTTTGCAATTTTTCCATTTATAAAGGGGCATAACTCTAGAAAGGTTAAAGTGATGCCACCAAAATTCAAACTTGATCTGTGTTTTGAGGTAATAAGCATTGTGTATAAGTTTCATATACATTTGGTTGAGGCAAACTCAAGTTAGAGAACGGAAACCAATTTTGGGACGTACTGACAGATGTACGCATGTACATACAGACGGACAAGGGTAAAACTTAATGCCCCCACTGCTACAGCGGGGGCATAAAAATGGTAAAATATGTCATTTTAAGGGCAATTACTCCTAAGAGAAGACGTCTGTGAGTTTTGACTTATATGAAAAATTGGTAGAGGTCAACATTCTGAACATTTCTTCTCCAGTCAGATTTTCTCTATTTATAACAGTTTTCAAAATAATAGACAAAACTTGCATTTTACCCCTATGTTTTGTTATTAGCCATGTCGGCCAACTTGAATGGCAGATGGGGTCATCGGACACATTTTTAAAACTAGATATCCCCAATGATGATTGTGGCCAAGTTTGGTTAAATTTGGCCTAGTGGTTTCAGAGGAGAAGATTTTTGTAAAAGTTAACGACAATGGACGCCAAGTGATGAGAAAAGCTCACTACCAAGGTGAACTAAAAAATAACATTACTCTCTCAATTCACTTATTTTCACGTGCTTTGTGATTCTATGTTGATTGTTTATCAATATCACAATCCGGTACACTTTGGCAAAAAGTCAAAAGGTTAATAAGCATGCTATCAACAATCACTTAATGAAATATTAATTGTCGATAATACATGTTAGATTTGTAATAAATGTAAATAAATGTAGAATGTGTCTATGGGACACAGATAATACCCCTGCTTGCATATAACATTATAAAGGGACACAACTAGAGAACTGTAAAAGTGATGCCCGCAAAATTCAAACTTGTTCTGTGTTTTATGGCAATAAGCACTGTGTATAAGTTTCATAACATTTGGTTGAGGCAAACTAAAGTAAGAGAAGGAAACCAATTTTGGGACGTACGTACAGACGGACAACGGCAACACTTAATGTCTCCTATGCCGCGGCGATGGCAAAAAAACATGCATAAAGAACTTAGTATAGTATATATGCATGTTTTAGTTCAATAATTTCCTAAACATTCAAATTACAAGAAACTCGTTTCATATGACTTTAAGTCATATCCATCCTATCATTTAAGCCTATAGAAATTCAAGTAAAGTAAGAACTCTGCCAAAATCAGTTTGATCTTTACTTAAAGATAGGAAACTGATTCTTGAATCATAATTAACTGTTAATCACATTATATATCTTGGTAAAATACATTTTTCTTACTTAATAATTATATGTATTTGTCTTTCACTTTTTTATACACAGAATTGAGCAAATGTAGCAGGGTTTAAGAATATGTATAGATGCTCTAAAGTAAAAAGTATTAACAAGGATGCATTATTTTGGTTTTAAGCAGTAAGATCTGCTGTACTGCTTGGTATTGAAAGTTTTAAACTAGAATCTCAATTCATAATGCCGGTATATATAAGCCATGAAATAATGAATTTTGACATTTAACCTTAGTCCAGAATTATTACAATTCAGCATATGCTTGCATATGTATACATGTATACTAATATTTAAGATGAGCTGGAAAGAGTTACAAAGTTTCATTAAATTCTATGAATATTCAAGGTGCTATCAAAATAATAATACTGTATCTTCTTCATTTTCCATTTTTATTGCTACATTCACACATGAATTATGACAAACATACAATGGATCATGACACAATCTTCTCATTCATACAAAACATTAAGTATAAGAAACACTATGTTTTCATTGGTTCACTTCCATCTGCATTCTTTCCTTGCTTTTCCAGTTCAGCTCTGGAAAAAAAGAATATAAAATACATGTATAAAGAATTTATTGATATTTAAGGGGAAACAGCTTCCATTTAATTAAAATACTTATCCCATTTCAAATTTTATTGCCACTCTCTCTGAAAAGAAACTATTTTTGTTCATATCTATATGTCTATCAAGCACAAAGTTTATGGGAAAAAATTCTACAAAAACTCTTCTCTGGAATGAAACTTAAAGCAAATGTCAACTGTGTACTGGATCCTTAATTTAAGAAGGCAGACACACTTTGTTTGAATGCGAGACTTGAGAACTTGCTCAGTGAAATAAACTTAATAAAGTGTGCATATTACTTTTAAATAATTCATAGCATAAATTTTTTTATTTTTTCCTGCTATATCATGTAGATCAGAAGTCAGAATGTATACAATGTACATAACCTAACTTTCGTTTAATATAATCCCTGTTAGTGTTATATATATAATCATTATTTTATAATCCCTGTTAGTGTTATATATATAAATCATTATTTGAATGATATGCACAATCTTAAACGACTGTTATGTACAAAAATATATTTCTTAAATGGTTAATACATTTGTATCATGAACTTTTGACATCTTTGGCCATCCTGCATGTATATTCCTTCTATTGCCATTCCCCCCAACACTCAGTAGATTGTATAATAACGACATTGTCAATATGATAATCCCCCATTCCAAAACCTACAAAAGGATTCTGGCAAATTTTTGAAAGAATATACAATAACTTATGGTTCTGTGTACCTCTATTACCTTTTATCATAACCATCCAGTGTTTTTAGGGGTAATCATGGGCTGTGTCATTTCTAATTATGGAGTGTGTACATGTATTACTTATCATTCCTCTACACCTCTTTAACCAGTGTACATTTGTATCAATTACTGGTATACATTTGTACCTTTACAAAACTGACATCCCATCTGACCCTATTTTTTAATAAATATAAACTTCTAAGGTTTTTATGTACAATTGAAGATAGCCTTAATTATTCTCTTCTTTCCAATCTAGTTTCGGTTTGCATGGTATGTATTTCGTCTTGTTAATGTAAGATTTTTTAAAGTTATGAAGAATATGTAAAAAAATAAATGGGGAATGTGTCCATGGGACACAGATGATGACCCTGCTTGCATATCTAATAAAGTTATAAAGGGATATATATAACTGAAGAATGGTAAAAGTGACGCTACCCTAATTTGTACTTGATCTGAGTTTTGTGGTAATAAGTATTGTGTATAAGTTTCATAACTTATGGTTGAGGCAAACTAAAGTTAGAGAACGGAATTGAAAAATTCAGCAATTTTTATGTTTATAAAGGGGCATAACTCAAGAACGGTATAAGTGACGCCACCCAATTTCAAACTTGATCTGTATTATGTGGTAATAAACATTGTGTATAAGTTTCATAACATTTGGTTGAATCAAACTAAAGTTAGAGAACAGAAACGAGCTTTGGGCATACGTACAGACGGACAATGGTAAAACTTAATGCCTCCTCCGCTGCGGCGGGGGCATAAAAACAGAATTGAAGCTTTACAGAACTTCTGGTTTAAAACCAGTTAACCTAATCAAAAATTCATACTCTGCAAATCCTTGTTTTGGCTTATCCATCGATGACAGTGAAAGCACCTACCTCAATTGTACTGAAAAATCATCATCTAAATTATCATCATCCCAGTTATCTTCCCAAACATTTATATCTTCTTCATCTTCATTTTCTTCTGTCCAGTCTGTAATTTTAAGGCAAGTAAAATAAAATGTTTAAAAATGTTTAATATTCAAACTGAAATGTAAATACATTTTGTGTAAATGCTTAAAAATAGACTTTTTTGTGTGTTTTTATGATAAAGGATCATAGAGCAGAATTTTACTAATATTGTGTTTAATCCACAGAAAGTAAATCCACGAAAATTTTCCAAGTACAGTGTTTTTTTTTCAGTTTATTCATAATTCTGACTCTATTGCAAGTTGTTTAATCAATCAAACCTGTTCAACTGATCAGAAATTTTAAAAATTGCTAAACAGATGTAGAAGAATTACAAATCAGTGCTTCCTGCAGTTTGTTATCAGTCTAAATATACACATGCTTCATGTATTGTATGATGCATCAGGGGTTAAAAAATTTTGTTACAGCTCACTAGCCCAGGACTTAATGATAGCAGGATTTATTAGTCCTGTTGATAGAACTGCTAGCCCAGCTATCAAATCAAACCTGATAGCCAGGACTTCCAACAAGTGTTTGAGTCAGTTGGATATTTTCTTTTGATTCAAATTTCAATCCTGTAAGACTTAGTCACAAAGGCAATCATTGTTAAAATTCTGGCATCATCACAATGCCTGAATAATTGACATTAAAACGTTACAATACTAAACTTCAGAACATTTTTTATATAATTTTGCTGTTCTGACATAAACTGTTAAATTGACAGTCCACATACGAATGTTAATAAATTGCTTTGCTGAGCGCAGCTGGATACGACCGCAGATGTCCAACCCTGAAAAGTTGGGGCCAAAATGGACACAATATTCACGCTTGATACAGGTCTGAATTTGGATTGTAATTAAATTTTTGACACATAATAGGTTTCTGACACAGAATAACTGTAGTCAAAGAACTTCAAATTGGTTATATGATTTGAATTTATATTCAATTTTATGCGTTTGTGCAATACACTATGCTGTTGAATATTAACCCCGAAAAAAAAAATATTTGAAGAAACTTTCTTTTAATTTCTGGAATCTGAAATGAGAAATATTGTCCCCCTCCAATTTTTTTCACCTCCCCCTTTCCCTTATTCAAAAAAATAATTTTTCCCTCAAGTTATGGTCAGTATCTCAGACAATCATCATTTCTTAATACATAATTTACAAGCAGTGTAAGGGAGGTAATCAAAATTTTTTATTTAAATTGATTTGGATTTTGATTTGGATTACCTCCCTTACACTGCTTTAAAATAGTCTCAATTGTCCTTTAACCAGAAAAACCCTTGTTTTTGCCCCTAATTCCTAAATGGTTTGAGCCATAACCCCCTAAAGTCAATCCTAACCATCCCTTTGTAGTATGGAAACTTGTGGTATAATTTCAGAGAGATTCGTACACTTTAACATAAGTTATTGTCTGGAAACTACAAAAATGCTTATTCAGGCCCCTTTTTTGGCCCCTAATTCCTAAACAGTAATGGGACCATAACCCCTAAAATCAATCCCAACCTTCCTTTAGTGGTTATAAACCTTGTGTTAAAATTTTATTGATTTCTATTTACTCATACTAAAGTTATTATCCGGAAACCATCTGTCTTGGGACGACGCTGAAGACGACAACGTGATACCAATATTCAACAAAAAATTTTTTAATTTTTGCGGTCGTATAAAAATTAGTGAACTAAAATCTGCCTTAAACTCTTTATTATTGCAATATCACGCTGTCAGAACTGTGCTTTCTCTTTTCAAAAAGCATTTTTCTTATTACCGGATGTTGACTTGTCAATGGTAAAACATGGACCAAAGATGGGACACAAAACTCTGTGTACGCTGTCAAAGTTGTCTATTCAGTTTATGTAGTTCTCACTCTTTTTTTATTTGAGCATTAATTTAGAATTTTATGTTCATATGTATTTCCGAACAGGCTAAATCATTCTTACAAGTAACATTTCACATCAATCAATGCATCAAACCCCCAGTACCATTAATTGAAAGTCTCGGATGAGCAATGTACAATATGCTAAGTACGGAGAAATTGATAATGATAGTACAGGAATTGCAATCAATACATGATACCCGTCCACCCAGAGTGATTTGTTCTATTTTTAAAACATACAAAATCAATTCAAATTCTTGGAATACCGGATGATGTAATTGAATTTTATTGGCTAAGATAGAATAGAGATAAAGGGATTTTCCACTTTGTATTTTGGAAACGCCAAGAATATTTTGTTACTAGTCCGTCGGGAATATTTAGTTACAAGTTTTGATTGCCCGAGGTGTAAATACTCTAGTCCCGGGCGTCGGGCTAGTGGATTTCTTAACCCATGCATTTTCTCATTCCTTATTTATAAAATTCCTGTTTACTGACTACTTACATGTACATGTCCTTTTACATATAATAATCATGATGAATGAGAACACCCTTAAATTTGGTATTAACATTCATGTGAGGGAGCATCCAATATTGTGTGATTTTTCACATCCATTACTCTTCAACTTCTTGTTTACCAAAAAATGCAGAATATTTATCTTAAGTGAGCAATAGCTCAGTTCAACTTGTTTCATATAATATTTGCATATGTACAATTAATAGTTCATTTCTGGAATTATACAAACAATTATTTTTTTGGAATTCCTGTTGATTTCTTTTTCCTATCCAAAGTTTATCTGTAACACAAAGGTTAACATGCACTTTTGCAGGTACAAATTGTCAACCTGTGGCAGTGAATTGTATTTGAATTGAATTATTTATTTGCCCAGCTGATAGCAATTTATAACTTCCCTAGCAGTACATAGTTTTATATCAAATTTTTTAAAGAGGTGAGACTCTAATAAAGTATTTGTTGTTGTTGTTGTGGTTTATGACCTTGAAATTATAAATGTTTGACATTTAAGTTCCCTTACAAAAATTATTGAACTTTTTATTAACATTTGTCAAATTGCATAAAATTTTTCAAACAGATATTTTCTTATTTAATTAATTGTTTTTTTTGAAAAATCTTATTGCAGATTTATTTGCTGCAACAGTACTAATTTTAAGCCTTCTTCTGTATAAATGAAAAAGGTACATATGCAAGATATACATTTTTTTTTTGTACTACTGGAACTGTGATAGACCAGATGTTTGATAGAGTAAACAATGTATGTACGTTTCCACATAAAAGTTTATGGACAGTTTGTCATGTTTGTAGGCATTCCTATGGGCAACAATTGCAACTCTTTGATAGAAGACTTGTTTCTGTATAGTTATGAATCACAGTTTATAACCAAACTCAGTAAAAATCTGTCTAACTTCCATTTTAATTTTGATTAAAAATATCTGCCATTTTGTTATCATTGTAAGCTTCTGTAACAAACACGAAAATAGGATTTTTCCATTACGATAATTTTGTTTGGTTTTTCTTATTCAAATTAGAGAAAAGTCACAGGTCAGGACGAAACCAACATTACTGCCAATAATAGGGCTTGATAAGGGATCTGAGTGCAGCCAAATAACACAAAATTGCTCTAAAAACAGAATTCCAATAGGGCAATAGTGAATTAAAAATCCCATGGGGATTTTCAAAAGTTGACAGGCCTGCTATTTTGAGTCCAATTCAGTCACTGCATTGATACATCAATGTCTTCAAATGATGGCCTATATCTAATTAAAATACTTCAATAGTTTTTGTAGCAATTGCATCAAACGGTAGATTTTTCAAATCGTTTATTAACAAAAATTATATATGCGTTGTGTCTTGTGAAAATTCTCAATCGAACATTTATGATATGCTGTTGATATATTAGACTGGTAATTAATCTTTACCTTCTGCCGGAAATTCTTCGAACTCATCGTCTTCTTCCAATAGACCTAAGTCTGGTTTCTTTTCTTGCTTGTCTGTCATATCAGTAAATAGGAAAAATGAAATATATTCTTCGACGGAAGTTGTGCAAGGGAAGCAACCATACGTTCAACGAGCAAAGGATAGATTTGAAATAGGTTGTTTCGGCCATAATTGTTTCGGTCTTTGCCGTTTCGTGAATCATACAGCTCGGTTATACTTTATATCTTACTGAAGTTAATGGGTTGTTTTTACTGTCATTCTTTTAAATATCTTATTGTATCAAATAACTTTCAAATATCATCATAATACTATTGCCAGAAATTGATTACAGATCAGCGACTCTGTTCACAAAAAATCTTACGATTAAAATTGATCGTAAGTTATACTGAAATGTGTATGACTTACGAGTATTTTTACTCTTAAGATTTTTTGTGAAAAGAGCCGCAGATCTCGATGACTGTACATATCCTCGTGTATTGTATTTTCGACCTATTAACATATTTCTCCGAATTTCCCTTTTATATGTTTGAACATAGACATGCCTAATATTTTGAGAGTCACTAGTATACTTGTGCATAAAATAATTGTATCTGAAATATATTTCGATTTTAAGTAATTTTTTTTTATTTGAGTTCATTAAATCGATGGCACGTTGTTGACAAAAAATAGCGTCTTGTGTTTTCGACCTATCTAAGAAACTGGTCCAAAGTCGGAAGGGACATGTCATACAAATCCGGAATTAGTTATAATTTGATGCCAATGTCTATATCAAATTATTTAAATTGTTAGGAGGCGATCAAACTTATGACTTAATGAATTAAATGGTTACATATACAACTTTAAGATAAAAAATATTATTTTGATATCTTTATTTGACTAGTTGTACACATTTCACATGAGGCACTTTGGAAGCAAGTTTGATCTTGTATATCCTCGATGATTGGAAGTTCGTTACCCTAACTCGAAACGGAAGAAAAAAATCACAACCTTGGAGCAAATATTATCCACTGTGGATGTAAATATTCTTTACTTATTTGCAAACAGTCTGATACATTTAATTGATGAATAGCTTCAGAAACATGGTCAATCTTTCTATGTTTCATATTGTGACCCGATTCCGTAAAATAAGTAGACATGCTTGTAAGTTCGTGACCTTTGTCTTTGGTGGTGGCTTTTGCGCATGTGCAACAATATATAGGTCAGGCCTATTGTATTATGTATTTGAACAGTGACAGAATAAATTTGAGATCAAATAACAAATGAATATCTCGAAAAAAAAAGAGAAATTGGGACATACTAACTTTTTATTCTCCCTACAAAGATTATTCTAATTTTTACACGTGACTTTCAATGGTCAATTGGAAAGTCCAGAATTAAACACTTTAAAAACGTTTAAGATAACTATAACGATGTCACAATGTCATTAATGCATCAAAGTATTTTTTCATGCAATTTGCATTCAACGGCATAGGATTAAATTACTTTTACGAGCCAATATTCGGCAGGTTTTGTTTTCATCAAAATATATCAAATCATTTTCTGATCTTAAAAAATCCGCTCACATACAGACTTTAAAAAATAATACTCTTGGCCTTAAAAAAAAAAAGAATAAGAGGCCACATAACCTAAAAATAGATGATGACTCATTGTTGAGATGTCAATAACATTGCTTAAAGGATTTTCCCAAGAATTCAACGAAATTCTAGGAGAGGAATAAAACAGTAGTAGTGGAAATAGACGTTTAAACAAATAATATGCTAGAACATACACAACTACTCTTTTTCAAGCCGATATTAGTGAAAATGCAATGAAAAATATTCGGTTAAGTTTTTTGAAGTAGCACGTTGCCGATGATAAATACTTTTGCATGACGTTACGAATAAAGTGGAAATTCCCAAATGTCACGAACTTGCAAGTTTAACGAACTTGCAATCATCGACGATACAGTCATTTTTTTGTTCAATACTTAAGTGAAGGCATTGTGGAGTGAGTATTGTCTGTATTTCCACTGACAGACTGTTGTTTCTGTAAATTAAAATTAATCGATATTTTATTTTTTTAGTAAAAAGCTGTAAGGATCATGCAGATTTCCGTATTAAAAATAACTTTAAGTATTACAACTAACCACCTGACAGTCATGTGACTTAATGACCTGGATGTAAACTTCACGTGCAAAAAGTCCCCCTGCCATATTTCTAGAATATTTGTTTATTTTTTATAGATTCTTTTTGAAGGTAAAAATAGTATTAGTAAAAGGGTACAAAAATGTGATATCAAATAATAAAACGTAAATACTTAATTACATTAACTTTACTTGGAACATCTTAACCACCACGTGGTATTATTTGATATTGTTACTTACTGTAGCAGCCGAATATGACGTCACGCGGACATGCGCAGCATACGGGAAGTGAATGTAGAATTAGGTCGAAAACATAAGACGTTCGAAAACACAATACGAGACGATAATAGATTTCTTTTAGGCACTGGCTACGGTTACATGGAAATGTAACAATAATAAAAATATTATTGTTACATTGGAGACTAATTGCCGGAATACAGGGTTGGGTAAGGATCCGATTAATTACGAATGTTACAATCATAATTGTGTCTGCGGTTACATTGCGTTATTGTTATGATTAATGCACTTCCGAATGTACGGTAGCTATAAATATAGATTTATCAAACTTAAACCTTTTATAGTTTTTTCGCCAATAAGATTGAAATTACGATCACAAAATATCTGGACTGAAATTGAAAACTCTGATCCAAACATCAATTGCTTTCACAATTGACTTGTATTTTTAAGGTTTTTTTCAGCTATGTTAAGTTGGATATTGAAATCGGAGGTGAACACAAAATCAGTAATGGACGGCAATGAAATCAAATTACCCGGTACAACCTCACATGCTTACAACAAAAGTATTGGACAAAAATATAAACATTGCAAAAGTAAAAAAATATTTTTCTCCTGAAGCATGACAGACGTCGATAGTTTCTTTATCTTTCAAAAAGGGAAAGTGCAGAATAGAATTGAATAGTATGCAATCAGGGACTTTCTATGTTAGTATAGAAAGTCCCTGATGCAATACAGACGTGCACATTGTTGCATCACTCGTTTGTGATGGCTGCTTAAATTGGTTTCTCAAAAATCCGACGAACTAAAACATACTCCCAAAAACAACATACTGGATTTGAAGAAACTGTCTGTCATTGTAAATAATAAAAAAAAATGTATGCATTATTGTAAAATTCAAATAAAAGTCTTATTTTAAATAATATATATATATATTTCTAGTCCCTGCGTACATTCGGAAGTGCATTAATGAAACAATAACGCAATGTAACCGTAGAATCAATTATTATTGTTACATTCGTAATAAATCGGTTCCTTACCCAACCCTGCATTCCGGCAATTAGTCTCCAATATAACAATAATATTTTTATTATTGTTACATTTCCATGTAACCGTAGCCAGTGCCTTTCTTTTAAGTCATTTCCCGGTAGTATATATATATATATATATATATATATATATATATATATATATATATATATTTATTCAAGATAAAAAGGCATGAATTTGACAGATACAAAATATTACAAAGACACAGATATAGCACTAGACATAGTTTATAGACACTAAAATGATATACATGTTTACTAAAAATTTTAATTTAAGAAATAAACAATTAAATTATGAAAATTTTCATGAAATTTTGATAATATGAATAGACTAGATTAAATAATGAGTGAAAAATAACTTGACTAATATTCCCGTTGGTAAAAGAGAAATTTTGGTTATTTTCATCAAGGTAGCGGAAATTGTTATCAAATTTCGCAATTGAATGCAATTCAACAATTAAATCCTTACTGAGATTAACCATAAACGTTGATCCATATAAATAATATAGGATAAGGTGCGGAATTGGCGCCAATAGGAATACCTTCAACCGATAAATATTAATACCGAGACGCATAAATATATTGTAAAGACGAAAATTAATACTTTAATCATCTCATCACAGTTCTAGTTATTACTGTTTATGGCATATTCATCTTTTTCATTAAAGAGGAAGACTTTGTATAAGTTGTAGCAAATAAATAAGATTTTCAAAGGATCATGGTATGATTGAATATTACAAGATCTGTTTGCTAAGTTAATATGAAAGTGTTTTGCAGAGATTCAAAATGTTATAACTGCTCACCGAATTGAAAGGACCATTAAAACACGTAATTAATGTATCTAAAGAATCAAAATCATATGAGATGAAAGTTTGAATAAAACCTAAGGAATAATTGAAGTTAAACCCAAAACTTGTTTCGCAACTAGCAAGGAAGAATATTCACTAGAAGAGATGGATGATTATCTAATGTTCACAAACAAACTAAGATAATATAATAAGAAGAGGGTGACGCTATATATATATAAGCAAGCAAAAAAACTAAACTGTAGTGTCAACGGAAATGATGATTCAATGATGGTGAACGTAAGACTTATTAATTGTCGATTTCATTCGTTCTTCCTCAAAACCCTGCTAGAGCATTTTTTATATAAAGAACACATTCATGTTAATGAAATCCATATAATGTGAATATTCACAAGCACTCACTGAAATGTGAATTAATAAGTGACAGTACATCAGTATTTCTGAATCCATAAATAGATTTGCAATAATGGAATACTAAAGGAAATAGTACATAGATTTGGAATCCTGGAATACTAAAGGAGATAGTACATAGATTTGGAATCATGGAATACTAAAGGAGATAGTTCATAGATTTGGAATCATGGAAAACTAAAGGCGGTATAACATACTAAGATTTGGAGACATGAAATACTAAAGGAGAAAGTACATATATTTGGAATTATGGAATACTAAAGGGGATGGCACATAGATTTGAAAACATGGAATACTTAAGGATATAGTACATACATTTGGAATCATGGAATACTAAAGGAGATAGTACATATATTTGGAATCATGGAATACTAAAGGAGATAGTACATAGATTTGGAATCATGGAATACTAAAGGCGGTATTACATACTAAGATTTGGAGACATGAAATACTAA